CTATGCATTCGTCGTCATTCGCTGTGTGCGTCGGGATTTTTTTGAGCATGCTCAAAAGTGTACACGCCAAAGGCACGCCAGACATGCGTGGAGCGCACTAGACCAGCGCCAGACATACGCGGAGCACGCTGTGCATTTTGTGTCAGCTCGCTAGCTTTTCCAAAATCATGACAAAAGCTATAGGCACACGGCCTTTTCCGATTTCCAATGCGCGGGCCTTGCGTCGTCTATATGTGACCACCTCTGTTGAGAACGCGGTGCATGCGTGGACCATTCGCCCAGCGCGCTAGCAACACGCTGTGCATTTGGTGTCAGCTCGCTGTAGTTTCGACAAAAGTTTGGCGCACGACAACGCACTGGCATAAATTGCAAATTTCCAATACGCTGGCCGTGCGTTCCCCATGCGTCCCCGCTGTGTGACCGGGCCTTAAGCAACGATTGTTGAATTTTAGAGACAAATGTACGCCATTGCTGTTTTTCAATACTACAATAACAAGCAGTAACAAATTGAAATTTCATGACTCATGATAAGTTCATTTAAAGGTACAATGTCCCATTTGCAGTTCAAAAAATGAAAAGGTTAAATTTGAACGGCATTTGAAAGACAATGCATACTTAGAACTTCCCTCAAATCGAAAGGGTTTGAAAATCGCTTTTTGTGGGAAACGACCATTAGTTGTTGAATCGAAATAAGTGATTGCAATCACCGAGTAAAAGTCTGATTTTCAGTTCCTTGTACCAAATGGTCGTAGTTCTGTGCAGCACAAAGATTTAATCACTTTTATCTTGGCCATTACGAGTTGTGGGTTATTGATGTAGACAAAATGGTCATGTACCTGTTGCAGCTCATTTATTTATGTTATTACCAAAGAAAAAAAGATGTCAGTCAGTCACTCAATAGTGTTTAACAGTGAAGTCTAGAAAGTAAACGGGTTCCCTTGCATAATTCGAATACTATAGGACAATGCCAACGTTTACATTTTAGAGATAAGACATACGTGACAGTGCAAAATTCTACAGAATTTGATGTTGGCTGCAAGACAGACATGGTATCTTTAACAGTTGATTCCATAATTGTTCGGGTTATTTAGCAGAGAGAGAGAGAGAGAGAGAAAGAATGGAATATTCTCATGACCTTGCATTATTATTCTTCTTCGTTCATCATCTCTATGATGCTATTTGAACAATATTTGATGACAATAGACAGCACTCTGGTACTATTTTTATGTAGCGTCCCATGGCAATAATATGGCAGATAAAATGAGGATCATTTCCGGGTTTAATAATTTGACGAAAACTGAATTTGAACCCAGGCTATATTTTATCTCTCTTTTTCATTTTTTCTTTGCCTTTCTTTTTCCTTGCTTACTTCCTTCTTACCATGGAGTATGTAATATGCATGTGTATGCCTCGATCAAAGATAAAGTAATCCCTAATATCGCTGTATTGATTCTTCTTCTTCCCTTTCTTCATCATCTTTGTCTTCCTATAGGAGATAGTATAAAAAGTAATATAAATGTCAGCAGTATCATGATAATTATTATTTTCATTATTATCATGATTGTCATTGGTGTTGTAACAATAGTAGTTATCATTGTAATTATTATCATTATTATTTTTAGTATTAATATTGTAAATTTTCTTATAATTATTGTTATTTATCTTCATATCCTTATTATCATAATAATAATTTAGTACAATACGTCATGTGCCCAGGAATGATTGCTATTTTACATCCAAGATGTCTACCAAAACTCTCAATTCGTTGCTGAAATATTATCAGGAGAAAAAAAAGTAACATTAGAATTGCAATCGATTTAGTAATAGTTAGATTTTCAGACCCTTGTACGGAATGGTCGTACATTTTGTACTCTTTTCCTCCCCTACCCCCCCCCCCCCCCCCCCCTCCCCACCCGCTCATTCGCCGGCCGGCTGATTAACTGATTCGCTGCTAAATAAAAATTGCAAAATCGATTCAACTTGCTTTCAAATGGCGATCTTTATACACGCGCAATCAAACTTAGCAGACATGTTGTATCCATACACTTGACAACTGTCTGCCAAGTTTGGTAAAATTTGATGAAGTCATCACAAAGTTTTGCCACAAATGATAAATTTACTTTGCATTGTATAACAACCCGTTTAATGCTTGCAATACATAACACGCAACAGTCAAATGTGCCCAACTAACCGCAACGAAATGCCCTTTCGAATGATACCAAACAAGGTGATATGTTCACAATTTTTTTTTTAATAAATCTCTCTTGATCATGGGTCACTAAACAGATTATGCTGTGTTTCCCTTCAATAACACATATTGGCGATGACGTCATCTTTGAGAACGCTTTTTGCCCTCTTTCCGAACTTCTTTCCTTGAAATTTTGCAAGCATATTCCGGGTGGCGGATTTTGAAAATCTCTCAAGGGGGACCATTTCATACCCTGCATGATTATGCTAGTATGGAAGGCCATTTCTGACACAGTACACGTCATGACCCGTTCTTCCTTCATCCAAATCCCATTCGTTTTCCACGCAATGCATATGAACCCTATCTTGGTCCCTTCTTTTATTCCGATTCATTTCAAACTTCGTTAGGCATAATCTCTAGCATCTCATCAAAGTCAACATTGTCCAGAATGTGTTATGTAAGGTAGGTCATTTACTGACTTCACACTATCGCATGTGTTTTATCGCCGTCATTTCAATTTGTGAGTGGGTTCTGGAAAGGATTTCAAAATTGCATTTAATTTATTCCTCACACTAGTGAGGGCTTAAGAGTACTTTCTACTTTTTGTTGAGGTTCTAAGCAATCTGTAGAGGTATAATAAATTGTATACATATTTAAAATTTCAATGAAGCTTCTCTTTAACCCCTTTATATCTCCACTATCCTAGATGCTACAGAATTCTAAAAAAATGCTCTGGATAGTCCGAGAGATGCTCGTTGGTCTGTCATGTAGAAACACTGCCGTCAATGCATGCATATCATTCTAATACGATTGCAATACAAGTTATAATTTTGTTTTGTGTGTATGTTGGGGGAGACTAGAGCACCATAGAAGAGCATCACCCATGTATAACGTTCTCCTATTGTGTTTGCGCCCCTTTCATGTCGATATTTACTCACATTATCCGATGTGGAAACTCTTGAAAAATAAGGGGGAAACCCGATTTTCAGGTCCACACAAGAAGGCGTGATCATGACAAGGCAATAAAACGAATTGGATTAATGGTAAGAGATATTTCTTTCTTATTTTTTTTTGCACACGGATCCATAGGTGAATGACATCTCTCTCTACTATAAATTGATATGTGGGCGTGGTCACGCTCAAAGCACCCTTGTCAGCTAAAATTCACGAATATGGCGCGCCATTTGCCCAATCAATCACATAAACACTTTACAAAAAAATTGAACATTATTGTTGTTGTTATCACTACTATTATCATTATAATTATTGTTATCATTACTATTATCTTCATTATTGTCAATAATATTTTCAAATCACAATTTAGCTGCCCTTCTAGTTCTCCTTTGGGGTGCATACTATGTGTGATACAATCTCTTTGAGTTCAACTTTGAAAAGCGCCCATTCCCGGCCGACGAAATGCAAATAACTCTGCTTTTCGATAAACAGTGTTTATCAAGATGAACTGTCTTTATCTAGTGATAAACAAAGTTTTTATGGCGCGCCGTTTGACTAATAATTTAGATGAACACTGTTTATCGCCGAAAGCACTGTTTATCAAGCGATAAACACTGTTTATCGAGAAAAACTATGCTTATCACTCGATAAACATAGTTCCTCTCGATAAACAGTGTTTTTCGGCGATAAACACAGTTTAGCGAGATAAACAAGTTGTTTATCAAAACAGAGTTATTCGTATTTCGCCGGGAATGGGCGCTTTTCAAAGTTGCACTCGAAGAGGTTGCATATCCTGCAAATGAGGACTAGAGGGGCAGCTAAATTGTGACCTTTGACATTCCGTATGTTTTGCATGAGATGCATTATTATTTGTCCAATTTGAACGAATTTGGAGGGTCAATGACTCACAAAATACGCCAAATTACTGTTTGTTGATTGGCCATCAAATTAAAAAAAAAAAATAATGACGATAACTTTAATGATAATATAAGTACTAACAATATATAGTAATAACAACAATATTTTTAAATTTTTTAAAAGTAGTCTCGTAAAACTCATTGTATACATGTGCTTTCCATAATAGCATGTTGATAATTGATTTAATCATACCAAAAATACAAAAAAATTATGTTGATAAATGAGTTCGTAAATGTTAAAAAAATTACTTAATACTGCTCAATTCTTTTCTTGTCATTTTGTTATTTAGTGAAAGATATGTGATAATTGTGGTGATTATGATAATGATGGCACTCTGTAATCATAATTCATTATGACTGAGGTGCGATGGTTATGATGCAGTCTTATGTTGGATTGAGTAATAATTTGTAATTTGTCTAAATACGGCAACAGCGAGATAGATTTAGTCATATTTTCTAATGAGGGAGAAGGCGGAAATGTAATCAAAGAGTGGACAAGGCAAAAGTTTAAATGCAGTATAAAAATGGTCTACAATAGAAAAGGGAGGGGGAAGCAAAGTTAAATAGAAAATAAGTCGGCGCCAAAATGACAGGATAATAGCTAAGGCCTATGTAAATGTCAGTATTGGAAAGGGGTCCTGGATAGAAAATTTTACTGTCGGGGGGGGGGGGGGGGGGATGGGGGGGGGGGGGGGGGGTAGGCGAATATAAAAAAAATGGCGTTGAGTGCAAATATGAAAAGAACAAGGCAAAATTGAAATTTCATTGGGGAGGGGGCACAATATGAAAGATCATGTTATAAGAACGGCACTTGTTTAGTGAGCTAAATGATCTTCGCAATTTGATTGATAATCATTGATGCAGAAGCGATTTAGTTAAGGCCCTTTGAGTTCGATTTCGAAAAGCGCCCACTCACGAAGAAATACGAATAAATCTGCTTTTCGAAAAAAACAGTGTTTATCGATAAACACTGTTTATCGCCGATAAACACTGTACATCAGTCGATAATCAGTGATTATCGGCGATAAACATTGTTTATCTGAATTATTAGGCAAATGGCGCGTCATACACGAAAGGAGGAAACAAATTTGCTCTCTTTTTTTTTTGCACACGGACCATGGTTGAATGCCTCAGTCTCTGTAATTATTGATAAGTAAGCGTGGTAAAATAAGTAATAAGTAACCTTGATAAAATAATCTTTATATCATGTTTTTCTTTGCACACGAATATTAGTTCTCGAGACATTGTAAACACAGGCCAGGCAACATAAATCCCACCGCAGAACACAAGGTGACATTACTGTGCTTGTAAGCCGTTTGAATCTGTATTAAAAAAAAGGTAAGTTGTGGAGAGTTTAAATTCATTCCATGCAATCTAGTGTTAATTATCTAGGCGATGCTAAAACTATTTGCTCACGAGCCAAACGCTGAATTCGTTTAACGTCATATTAGTGTTTTGATTTATTTTGTTTTGTTTTTCCTCTCTCATTGTAGCTCTTGAAATGCTACAGAAAAGTTTTATTATGTTTTATGTACTTATATAATCATAACCAATATTAATAAAATATCACGATAATTGAGGGGGGAAGATTTAGGCGACCCGTTGTATGTAGGTCTACCTTTTTTTTTTTTTTTCAAAAATACGGTACTTTTGTGAATATAAGGGCTCATGTATGTCCTTGGGGGCCATTTTCTACCCCGCTAACAATTATGTTTGAAAATGACGTGGCACCATGCGGGGAAGAGGTTGATAGCCTAACATCTTTCGAACATTTAAACACTGGGGTTATCAATTAATGTGGGCATTGTATGATAAGGTTACATGTTCTAGATCAGGCCTTCTCAACTAGTTTATTAAGTGCCAAATGAAAATGTTATTGAAGTTGAAGTACCAACCTGTATGTTTGGTGACTGTGCTGCGAGGGGCAACAGCTGCGCGCCGCTTCGACTGACTTCGCGCCGCCATTTGAGTAGGCCTGTTTGGATGCATGTTATTATGGTTATCAGTCAGAGTATATACTTGGTGATTACTTACAGACCATCTTCACCTGTTTGGTAATTAGGGGTAATAGGTGTGCTTGTAGATCCCCGGGGTTAGGTTAGTGGTACTGACACAAACATTTCAAAATGCAGTCACGTAGCTGCTTGAATTCTTTGTAAGCCCGTTGATTACAAATCCAGTCCACTTGAAGTAAACCTGAACTCTCTATACATTTCTTCCTGATCTTTGATTGTTAGGATCAAAATGGCGTCGTTTGTTTCCATCGCTCTGGTCATGCTGTTGATTGTCAGCACCAGTGCCCAAGGATACGGTCAAGCACAGCTGCACTTCAATGGCGCGATTTCATGCCAAGGTTCAACAGGTAAAAAATGGGTTATGGTACGAATGTTAAGGGAAAGAAGAAAAAAGAAGAGGAGGGGGAAAATAAGTCAAAGAAGGAGGAAAAAATGAAAAAAGAAGAATGAGAAGCACGGAAAAGATGATGAAGAAGAAGAGGAAGAAGAAAAAGAAAAATGAAGGATTTAGCTTTTATTAGTTTTTGAGATGCCCGATCACGATATGTGTTAGGCCTACACACTTGGAACGAAAACTAGCAACGGCCTTTTTTTAATTTTATCATACGACAGAAGGCTGCAATAATTTTGGAACTCCAAGCAACCCGGCATTGTCCTGCCAACATGTCAAGGATGTGTGCCGTGAAGCAGCCAGTGACTTTTACTACATCGAGAGCGCTGGGCTCTATCGAAAGGTATGTTTTTGTTTTAGTTCGACGACGGGAGTGGATGGGTATAGGGCACCAGCCACAAGAACGTAAGAAAAAAATTTGTTATAACATTCAACTTCTTTTTGGAGTCCAATTTCCTTTTGCGGGCAGGATTCAGTGCACATTCTTTTTGCAATGACAATATTACCCCTGCAAGATTCCAGATGGTCGGGGCACGTGTCCCCCCCCCCCCCCCCGAACTCATAAATCTCAGTTGTATGATGCATGTAGCTCCATCCTCACACAGGTAACATTTTACCATCTTCCATCTTGTCTTACAGGTGTTTTGTGAGATGGACATTGAGGGCGGTGGGTGGGCCCGCTACGGCAGGTCCAACAAAGGAACCGTCTGGAACTATGTTGACGAAGACGCCACCGAAATCACTCTCGACATCATCTCCCCTTCCGAAGTCAAAGAGATGATTGATCTCAAATACAATCATTTCCTGGTCCAAACTGACGTTGTCTTCAAAATGCAGGCAGATAACAGCGTTAACCCGTCGCGTCTCACTACACGATCCCTTCCTTGGCTTGTGGATACACCTCTGTTCATTCCTGATTACGGCGACGACCATACCCGCATTGAATTTCCGTCTGGCAGTGGTAAATGTTTTCATCGTGTAGTCTATAGTCTCATTTTACACAAGTGTTTATCATGTTCGAAATGTGCATCAAAAATTGTCATAATGTTTTCATTTGTCTGACCCCATTCACTAAACCCATTGGCAATTCAAAAACTCCATGTGTTTTCAACATCACCATCTAAATGTTATTGCAAAGCACCTGCGTTATACAAAATAGCGCACTGGTCTTGATTCATATTGAAACTGTTTAAATTAGGGATAAAACGCCATCTCCCAGGGTTTACACACTAATTGGCAGTTCAAAAACTCCATGTGTTTTCAACAAATTTAAATGTTAATGCAATTACCTGTGTTATACAAAAAAGCGTCCTGATTCATTACCATACTATGTCACCGGGTTCACACCATGTTTCATTTTATTTTAGTACAATTAAAATGTGTTTTTCGTTCATACCATAGTTGATCGAGTGACCTGCATTCCGGGAGGTACAAGCAAATGCGGACAAGGGGGAGGGCTGCCACCTGCCAATGGGGTTTCCAAGCCCTTCTTCTTCCAGTCGCTCTTCTTCTCGCCCCGGGGAACAGGGGCAAGCTTGTCTGGTAACCCTAGTAGTCAGTGGCACCGCAACAAGTACACTTGGAACGGAAGCTACTATTATGTGTATGCCAAGTAATGATTTGGTCGATAGAGTAAAACATGAAACCTTGTTCTAGATAAGAAGTAGTATAAATCTATCACGGTTTTTTTTTTACATACTGTGTATTAGTACATTTTAAAATGTAACTTAACAAGCGAAGGATGAAGTAATCTTAGCTTGAATGGATTGGAAAAATGATTCATGTCATTTAATGAATTTACAGAAACGGAAAAAACTGAATAAATCAAATCAAATCTTACGACACCTTGCCACTAATATTAGATACAACCAATTTTGGGAGAATTTGACGTTATTACGCATTAATTTTGTGGGACTGTCAAAATTGAAATTGAAATGGATTAGCTAGGAATGATTCCCTGATTCTTCCATTTAAATGTGATTTAAATGGCATCACTACATTTTAATTTGTTTTTCCAAGCAGAATTTGCAGATAGCTCGTAGATTGTCAGAATGGATTGATTAATTGATTTCTTGATAGATTGATTGAATTTGGTGAATGAAGTATTAATTGATTTGGTGATGTATTGACTGACAGATCGATTGATCGTTAATACGTGTGTTTGTTTGCTTGTTTTTTTTTTATTTATTTCAATACGCTTTTAAAAAAAACCTGCTTTCAGCCGCAAGGCTTTTTTTAGCAAGTGTACAAAAAAAAGACAACATTATTAAAATAACAAAGTAATTGCAAACTATTTACAAAGGATAGTAAATATTTAGAATGGATTAAAGCCGATCAATAAAGGATTTTTCCAATAGAATTGCCTGATTAATTACTTGTTTGGCATGTTTAGGTGATTTGTTGATTGACTGACTTGTTGATTGACTGATTTGTTGATTGATTGACTGACAGATTTGTTGATTGAATGATTTATTGATTGAATTAAATTTATTAGTAAACTTCATTCATATACATGAACATTTTGTTTCACAAACATCGACTGTTTGACTGATTTGTTGATTAATTGATTGATTTGTTGATTGATTAATTGATTTGTTGATTGATTTATTGATTTGTTGATTGATTGATTTGTTGATTGATTGATTGACTGATTTGTTGATTGATTGACTGATTTTTTTATTGATTGATTGATTTGTTGATTGATTGATTGATTTGTTGATTGATTGATTTGTTGATTGATTGATTGACTGATTTGTTGATTGATTGACTGATTTTTTTTATCGATTGATTGATTTGTTGATTGATTGATTGATTTGTTGATTGATTGATTGACTGATTTGTTAATTGATTGATTGATCTGGTTGATTGATTTGTTGATTGATTTAATGATTTGTTGATGGATTGACTGACTGATTTATTTTGAATTGATTGTTGGTGATTGATTAGCAGATCTGTTCAATTATTGACTGGCTGACTGAGTGATTGATTTGTTGACGAATTGACGGTCTTTAATGAGTACTTTCTTGCTTCATCTACGAATGGCTAATCCATTGACAGAATAAATTCTTACTGCATTGATTGATTTTATTCAATGACTGATGTTTGGTATAAATTCTTAATAGTGATATGCATTCCCAATAAACAGAACACGAAAATGTAACCTCTTTTGGGAGTGTATTTTAAGTGATTTTAAAGTATAGTGCCCTTTGAACTAGATTTAAACGTTATCGACACGTGCCTTTATTTAAACAAAAAAGGTACTCCTTTTCACGTTTTTATCTAACCTAAAAACCACCAGTTTAACACGCGACTGGAGTAACGTGATTCCACTTACCTCTGTAAATCAAGTGTTTATTACCAAATTACCACTTGACCAAGCAACGAGTTTTTTGTCAGTTAACCGATGGTGGCGATAAATACGTAATTATTTGGTCTTGTAAGCACCTTTATTGATTGGTTTCACATGTTATCCAAGGTTGATGGTAATAATCACGTTACTTACACCGGCTAATCGTCTTATTGTTCTGTCCGTGAATCTCTGGTTATATTCAACTAGTAATTCTGAGGTGTCTTACACACCTCTTTAAAAGGTTTCAAAGTTACCATAAATTTATTGGTTATGATCACGTGGCTCAAGCTGATTACTAATCTAAGCTGTGAAAACGTGATATGTAGGTGTGAAAATTAGTAATTATTAAGTGTTTTAAAACACCTTTTTAAATGGTTGTCAAAGTTGCCATAAGTTCCGCGGTGATGATCTCGTGACTCAAACGGATTATTGATCTAAGCTGGTCATACGTGACTTTTAGGTGTGAAAAATTAGTCATTATTAGGTGTCTTAAAACACCTATTTAAATGGTTTCAAAGTTACCATAACTTTCTTGGTGATGATCACGTAGTTAAAACTGATTACTTATCTAAGCTGTGAATCCGTGATATTTAGGTGTGAAAAATTAGTTATTATTAGGTGTCTTAAAACACCTATTTAAATGGTAGTCAAAGTTGCCAGCAGTTCCGCGGTGATGATCTCGTGACTCAAACGGAATATTAATCTAAGCAGGGCATATGTGACTTTTAGGTGTGAAAAATTAGTCATTATTAGGTGTCTTAAAACACCTATTTAAATAGAAGTCAAAGTTGCCATAAGTTCCGCGGTGATGATCTCGTGACTCAAACGGATTATTAATCTAAGCTGGGCATACGTGACTTTTAGGTGTGAAAAATTAGTCATGATTAGGTGTCTCAAAACACCTATTTAAATCGTAGTCAAAGTTGCCAGTAGTTCCGCGGTGATGATCGCGTGACTCAAACGGATTATTAATATAAGCTGGGTATTCCGTGTTTTTCATGTGTGAAAATGAGTTATTCTTGGGTGTCTTGATGGTTTCACAGTTACCATTTAAGTTCCGTGGTGATAATCCCGTGACTTTTGGCATATTTCTATTTTCACCAGTTGATAACTGACTGTTGGCATATTTTCATTGCACCAGTTGATAACTGGAGTGTGCATATTTCCAGTTGTACCAGTTGATGACTGAGCGTTGGCATATTTCGAGTTGACCCAACTGACACCAATTCATTTGCATATTGAATATGGGGTGCGTGCAGATCTATGTTTTTTAAACAATTTATCTGAATTTACAGCATATTTGTTAATTACTGATGATTTAGTTATATGCAATTCATTTCGAAAATACTACAAATATAAATTACCAGTTATTAGGACATTTCGCTACTTCGTATAAATAGTTAAACATGAATAAGGGAAACATTAACTGTGAACTAAAATAATTTCAATAAAGTACAAGTATACGAAATTTTTTCGATTAATTCAATTATGTAAGTCTACTTATTACCAATGCCCTTACATTGGAAATACAGACGTACCAGTATTGAAGTATTGTTGCTGTTCAACTGGTTGGAAGTTTTACCAAATGGTTCTAATGGCTCAGCTAGATCAGTTGAATTATAACTGACCTGGATCAACTGGATCATTTAGTCCATTTCGATTTCCAGGGTTACCAGTTGGCATTAAATGGTTCATCAACTGGACCAGTTGCAACTAGCTTTCTCTTCTGGGATGTTTGCACCCACCCCCCCCCCCCACCCAACCCCCTCTAATCCCAAACTGCTTCCGACGCGCCTGGACGTAATTATGGAAGATCCAAGACACGATGTTCAGAAACGGGATGAGAACGTCATTATTTTGGTTCATTTATTGTGTAACATTTGCGTAATTATTGGGTTGAACGCGGGTTACAGTAACATACTTCCTCTTCTACGTAAATTTCACGTGAATGAAGAACATGATTCATCTCAAGTCAGCCTCGTAATATTCACGTGAATTTCACGCAGATATTTTGACTAAAACTATCACTAACGCTTCACGTGTTTCTGTGACGCGATAATTTCGTGTATGAAGATGTAATTTCATAACCAAACAAACACGGGAGTATTAGGTTTACAAACCATGGTCTCCAAGGTAGGGATAATCACGTTATTATAATGGTGATATTGCAGTGACAATTGCGTGATTTAGTGTACGTGTGTTTCAAGTTACCTAATGCAATAAACGTATTAACACATTTACGTAAATGTCCGGTGTTTGAAGAACGTAACTCTCCTCAAGTCGATACCTTGATATTGACGTGATTTTCACGTGATTTTGTTTATTGGGTTTATAACTAAAATACATTTTCATATTAGTATGACTTCACCCAATAACTCCATCAACCAATTGACCACTCGCCTATCAACCGACCTAATCGAAACCCAAGCAAGAAATTACTCGATTAATAAATCAATCACCTATTCAATCAAGGAACTAAAATTCATCCAATCAATCATTCAATCAAACAATCAATCAAACAGTCGATGTACAACTCATTAATTATGCCTAACGATCAACGGTACATTTAGGCCCTTAATCAATCAACACGTTTTTATCCAATCAATCACTCATTCAATCGTCTATCTACCAACCAGACACCGAAAGGAAGAATTAATTAAGATTTATCAATAAATGAATCATTCATTCAATCACCAAATTAACAATCAATTAATCAACCAGTTATGTTACTCAATCAACCTATCAATAATAAATCAATCAATCAAACAGTCGATGAATCAATCAACAAACGAACCAATCAAACACGTATAAGTACGAACCATAAATTTAGGCCTTCATCTTCCACATACATGTTTCTTCTCTCATTCAAGTTTTGTTTTGATACTGAAAAGTAAACAGAGAATTTGTATCATTTTACCTCACATTTATTTCGTTATACTCTTGCTTTCCTTGTCTCTGTTGTCTTACTATGTTAATTTTAGTTACATTTAATATGCACACCACATTAATTAAAAAATACACTATAAAACATTGCGTTTTTAATACTTTCAGTTCGACAAGTGCAGACGGTGTCTTTTTTGACAACGGGCTGAAATACATTATAAAATAAGCAAAACACTTCAGCAATCATGAAGCCCAAAGAGGGTTTCGAGAGAATTATAGATACGCAATGTCCATTAAATTTGCTTTTATTTAATTATCCGTTGTACATTTTTTTTATTACATACAGTACAAAACATCAGAATGATGTATTTCCATTATTTTCTAATAACAATATACCATTTAATTGATGAGGTGAAATCGTTCGAAATCTGCGCAAAGTAATTTTTTATTTTACCATTGAGAGGTGGTATTGAGGTGCTCCAATGTATGCACCTGCGACAATCGTCGCTCTGAGCTAAATCTCGTCCAATACATAGGCTAAGACTAAGGATTGCAATTGATTTTAGAATATGTCTAGGCTTAGGGCTAGGTAAAGTGTCTGATTGAGGGTAGATGTTAAGAATTCAGTTAGAGTACGATATTGATCGCGGAGAAGTCGCATGAGCATGTGTCGAACAATCAATATCGAAAATTTCCATACAAACTATATTGTTTGATACAGTTCGGTAAATCAAATAACAATATTTTTGGGATTCGAGGCAACTCCTCTAAATAATGTTATACATTTTGGACGATTTCGTCAGATTAAACAGAAACAACAATATACATTTATACCATCCTGATGAACTAGTTTAACAGACAGTAATATACGTTACTTTTGAGAATTTTGAAGGCAAACAATTCAATTGACATATGGCGTTGCAATTAGAGAGAAGCGTACAGATAAACATGCACCTCGCAAGAGACGAAGCACATTAATCCCCTCCAAACGGGATAGTGATGCATAAACTCGAGTGGAAAGGAATGATCGATTTCCTGGCAGAGAAGCCTGTTTGAGTCTCGTGTCTTTTTTGTAAAATATTCTTCTCGCTATTTAACTTTCAGATAATCAGACATTTGTTTATGGAAGAAAATGAATCAATGAAAGATAAGAGATAGGCAAATGAAACAACTGTTGATTATAAACAAAATAAAAAATCTTTTCTATGTACACACAAGTAAATGTATCCCTATGTCGTGGTTAGGAATAGTTCAGTGTACTCAATATAGTATAGGTAGTTTTTTCTTTCGTTTCCCCCTTTTTTTTTCTTCTTCAAGCGACAGGTCAATGGACTTCTCTACAAAGAAGGCTGTGCTGGAGCGGGATCAAGAGGTGTATTCTGTCCTGCGCCAACACATTGACCAATGGCTGCGGAAGCACCGTATTGTGAGACGCGACAGCTGGCTGCAGAGCGCGCCAGGAAACTCAGGTAAGCACCCTTGTCTTGCCAGCAGGCAAGGTTCTTCCCGCACTCGGTGGACCATGTTTGCATGGTAGCAGCCAGTGGGTGTTCGCCGGCAGCTTGGGCGTGTCGAAGCCAGGGGCATGCAGCAGTCAGCTTGCCGAATATGCAAGACCCCATGGATTCCTGGAAGCTCTGGCACTGTGGGGCGCTGAGGGCCAGTTGGTCGGTGGCCGGAACTTCAGCAACGGGTCCGCACTGTCCGGCTTGCTGGTCGAACACACCGACTCCGTTGACCAGGCCTTGGCGCTTCCGTTGCCAGTTGGTCAAGTTGGCAATCTGACTGCAAGTGTCACAAACACGGTTTACACCGATGCCGGCTTGCTGGAGTTGACCCAAGAGATTGGTGAATGTGGTGTCACCCAGGAGTGCGCTGAAGAGGGCCATTTTGCTTTCCTCAACGTATCCGAGGACCACCTCGGCGTTTACAAGACCTCCTCGACGTTTCTTTGTAAGGAGACTACGGAGAGCATGTTCGGATGGCGTAAACCAAGAGAAGAGATGAACCTTTAGCGGGGCCTTTTGATATCGTTGGATCATACCTGGAAGATCACGAAGGACAGAAGAGGCAGGATCCTGACCGTGCGTCTCCATACCCGTGCGGAACGCGATGTTTACTGGAGTACGTCCGGTCGTTTGTCCATTCTTCGGTACATTGCAAGGATCGAGTGCTTGTTTCATTCCTGCATAGTCAAGAGCAAGCACAGCGAGATCTTTCTTTCCCGATATTCCGTTAGCACCCATGAATCCACCACAGAGATGTTTGTCCATGTACGTTTTGTCCAACGCAGCTGTTTCGGCCGGAGTCAGTGGAGCATCTGTAGCTTGTGCGAGAGGAGCAGGTGCAAAGGCAATATTGGGCTCATTTGGGGCACCGAGATTAGTTGATCCAGCGAAAGAACTTCCCATGCTCTGTCCTATTCCTTCAGTCCATGTGCTGGTTGAGCCTTGCGAAGATCCAGCTGCACCCTGGGAACCTACCCCTCCATTACCATTCAAGCCATTCGATCCTGCTGCTCCAGTAGTTCCGTTTGCTGTTCCGTTTGGGGCGGCTCCACTTGTGGCTGAGTTCGCTGCTCCATTTGGGGCGGCTCCGTTTGCTGTCCCATTGGTGGTACCATTGGTTCCTGAATTCGCTGCTCCATTTGGGGCGGCTCCGTTTGCTGCTCCAGTTGGTACTCCTCCTGTTGCCGCTCCATTGACTCCTATGTTTCCTCCTCCAGGTACATCTCCTGGCGATCCTCCTGCTCCACCTGCTCCACCTGCTCCACCTGCTCCTCCAATTGCTCCACCGGGTACTCCACCGGCTCCTCCAATCGCTCCACCGGGTACTCCGTTTGATCCTCCGGTGGATCCTTGATTTCCCCTGTATGAAGATCCCCCATAGCCAACAGACCCTCCGGACCCTCCGGACCCTCCGGACCCTCCTGACCCACCAAAACCTCCTGTTGGATCATAAAATGAGGGACCAGCTGACCCGCCTCCCATTGAAGGCGGATATTGGCTACCTCCTAAACTGAATGATGTTCCAACACTTCCACTTCCACCTGCTCCTAGGCCTGCTCCCTCTGCTCCTTCACCTTGCATTTCCTCCCTTGCTTCAGCTGCTTCAGCTTCTTGTTCCTGGAGTTCCTCCAATGCTTCAGCCTCAGCTTCCGCTTCTTCTGCTTGTTGTTCATTCAACTCTTCTGCAGCCTCAGCTTCCTGCTCTGCCATTTCCTGAGCCTCTTCAGCCTCAGCTTCCTGTTCTGCCATTTCCTGAGCCGCTTCTGCATCCTGTTCGGCCATTTCCTGAGCCTCTTCTGCATCCCGTTCTGCCATTTCCTGAGCCGCTTCTGCATCCTGTTCTGCCATTTCCTGTGCTGCTTCTGCATCCTGTTCTGCCATTTCCTGTGCTGCTTCTGCATCTTGTTGTTGCATTCCCTGTGCGGCCCAGGCATCTTGCTGGTCACCTTCCGCCTGCTGCTCTTGCATTTGTTGTGCAGTTTCGGCCTGCTGCTCCTGCAATTCTTGTGCCCGTTCTTCTTCTTGTTCTCGCAACTCTTCTGCGGCTTCGGCATCTTGCTCTGCTTGCTCCGCCATTCGCTCTCGCATCTCCTGCGCAGCCTCGCGATCTTGGGGCGGCAGCCATTGATTTTTGGGGCGGAACTGTTGCTGCTGCCCCTGGCCGAGTCGCTTGATGGCTTGCCCTCTCCACCATGGTGCTTGGCAGGTGGCAGGGGCGATGGTCGCCACGAGAACGAAGGCAAGGACGATTGCCACTCGCATTTTGCTTGAAAGACCTGTAAGGTTACAGAAAAAATAGAAAAGATGAAAGGAGGAAAGAATTACTAAGACAGCAAACTGTAATGCTGATAGTAAGAGCGATAACACATAAATCAAAAGAGGGAAAGAATCAAAGCAAAATGATTTTAAAAAAAACACCAGATGGAATCTAAAATAGATAAATAAAAAAGACCCCGAAAATTTAGATCTTTGTATATAATACCCAGTTCTTTCACTGGTGACGACCATTTAATAATTTGTTAACGATTAGTTGACGAGGCTCTAAAAATTCTACTTTATTGACTGAATATGTTACAAAGGAAATGTCATATACAGTCAAACCCCTTTTAGTGACGACCGCGCCTAAGGTTTTATCGATGCTCCTTGATCTAGAATCAGAAATGGCCTTAAAATTGCATTATCGAAAGCGTAGGTTTATTGTAGGCTTTCCATTTGGATAAACTGGCGATCTAGCCACACATTGATTTGCAGTCGTGCATGCGACCAATTTGGTGTCACTATGATTCGCAGCCAAAGGGGTCTTTCCCTAAGTAGCAGGTCCTTTACGTCACATGGGGGTGTTCACAAAGACTAACATATTGCTCCGGTTGTCTCATTTTCGCTCGCTGGAACATTGCCAGTACAAACCACTGACCTCTACCTCCTGGACGGATCATCGCCCATTCCCATTCACTATACGTTACGTACGAAAAGGCTGTATTGTCTGACCGTTCATGAATATTCATGTTTTTGCTTACCTCGGCAAAATGTTTGCTTTTACTAAATGGAAAAATGACGGTGGGGGGTTGGATGAAATGGACTTAAAGATGAAGTTGAGTTCTGGTCATGCGATTGCATTGTGAAAGAAACGGTGTGGAACCGACCAGAAAAGGTTGATCATCTAGCATATAAGAATTTGTGTGTATTGCAAGGTTCTGGAATCATCAAAATGATAAGAAATTTGGCCAAGTCTTGGTAAAGTTACAAACACTTGCACAGAAAGATGTATATGGGACTACACCAACACATGGCGTAAAAAGCCGGCCCCCCGATTTTTACGATGTAACATGCATATTTAGAATATGAAGGCATTTGAAGAGCCATGCTTTTCAGGGAACATGTCTTAACTGATGTTCTTCCACACTTGCATAATAAGAATGAGTAATGCTCACAAATTATTTTTCACCTCTTCCCAGAACTCAACCTTCTCTTTAATGAACCAAGCAAAAGTGATATATGATAATTCATGCGTCTTATCCTTCGTGTGCTTGACCTATAATCTTAAAATCGCTTGGCAAACTGAGTCCAAAGTTCGACTTGTTTCACATGTGTATTATAGGCAATGACGAGCTTGCAACCTATTTTGATGAAATTTATATGGCTCCGGTTAGTCTCATTTCACAACGCCCCCTATCGTCAGAGCATGATCTGAGTCGGCAGCCTAACATGTTAGCCTATGGACGTTTTTTTATAAAAATCGTTAAAAATTCATTTTTTGTTTAAACGAAAAGCACATCCACCCCGACGTACGTTATCACTAGCTCTTTCATTGGAGCCCTCATGTCTCATTGACTTTTGAAAGTTCACACACCGTAATTTTTCAAAATAGGTTGCAAGCTCGTCATTGCCTATAATACACATGTGAAACAAGTCTAACTTCTGACTCAGTTTACCAAGCGATTTGAAGATTATAGGTCGAGCACACGAAACATAAAAAGCATGAATTATCATTCTGCCTATTTCATTATGTCTATTTCATCCAACCCCCCACCGTAATTTTTCCATTTAGTAAAAGCAAACATTTTGCCGAGTTTAGCAAAAACATGAATATTCATGAACGGTCAGACAATACAGCCTTTATAGTACGTAACGTATAGTGAATGGAATGGGCGATGATCCGTTCAGGAGGCAGAGGTCAGTGGTTTGCGCTGGCAATGTTCACGCGAGCGAAAATGAGACAATCGGAGCAATATGACGGTGGATGAACTTTCAAAAGTCAATGGGACATGAGAGCTCCAATGAAAGAGCTAGTGATAACGTACGTCGGGGTGGATGTGCTTTTCGTTTAAACAAAAAATGAATTTTTAACGATTTTGGGGGGTAAAATTCCATAGGCTAACATGTTAGGCTGCTGACTCTGACGATAAGGGGCGTTGTGAAATGAGACTAAACGGAGCGATATGGATTGACTTTAAGTTGGAATTAACTATGGCAGCCTGTTCATGCCAATGATCGCTATCACCAGTTACTGTTATTGGTCTCTCAAGGGACGTACAACTCATGTTCGCAATTTATTCACAAATCTACAGAATCTTTAATAATTCATTATTGAAGTAACAAATATTATCTAAAAATCATAATTGTGAGAGCAACTAGTGACTTGAGTGGCCTTTCATAGTTAAGTCCAACTTAAAGTTGATCTTAGTCTTTGTGAAACACCCCCATGGTCAGCATGGTCAGGGAACAATACGGTCAACCCCCTACACCGACTTAATTCCTTCCTTCAACCCGCGACCAAATGCTATATACTAACCCTAACCCTAAACCTAACCCGGAACTCATTTCAATCTCAACTCTACTGAACCCTATCTTTCACGAAATGAAGCCCAGAGCACATGTCACCAGAGCATATGTCTGCTTAACGCTCACAATTACCTGCAATTTGCTATTCATTTGAAATTCGGGATCTCATTTAAGAAGGGTTAAAATTGACGTAAACTTACATTTCTTATTTTGTTGCATTATTTTCCTTCAAAAATGGAGTCAATGTCAGATCAAAAGGTATGTGATGTGCTTGAAGAGCTAGGCAATGGTCAAATATTTGTTTTTCCTTTCTATTTACCCTTCCACAGAGTTTCTTTTTTAATTATCAACATAATCATTTTCACAAAAGATCGATACATGCACTATTCCATGACTTGTCATATAAATATTCAAACAATGAAATGTAACAAAACAACCTCGGCCGCACATACTAATACTAATAATACTAATACTAATTATACTAATAATAGCCTAATAGTCCACTCCAAATTGTATTAAACCGAAACGGAAATTCTTTTTGCCCAATTGATCGTGAGCCCGGCAGCCACTGAGCAGCGCCAGATCGACGTTGCTCTATCCCTTATTGTTGAACGCCAAACAAGGTAGCAACAACTCCCATCTTTTAACGTCTTTTGGTATGACGCGGCCGGGGTTCGAACCCACGACCTCCCGGTTGTGAGGCGGCCGCTCTACTGACTGAGCCAACACTCCGGTATACATATAATGATATTAAAACTTGACAAAATATAATTGTACACCAATTCTTTAACATTAATAAACTAGCAGACTCAACAAAGACACTCAGAAACATTTGGTATTAAAAATGAAACTATTTTTTCACGAAATTATTTTCTTTAAGATTTGTTTTTGCTCTACATATATATATTTCCATATCATAATAAGTTTTAACAGCTGACATAACTTTCATCATAACACGATCGGAAAAACTTTCGAGATATCAACTCAAGGGTATACCAAATCGCATATCCATATTTATCATCATTCTGATTATTTGATTGTGTATTATGTTATGTTCACACAGTGAAGAAGGTGATGGGCAAGGCGATTGAAATTGCCTAAGGTTTTTTTCTTCTTCTTAAAAATATATGAATTCGAGTTTTACGTGTATTCATAGATCCGAAACGGGTTTAATGCAATGAGGAAATGGAAAACAATATGTCTAATTCAGACGAACAGACATTGATGTGTTAATTTATTGAATTGAAAACGGTACACATCGCTTAAAAAACCCTACCCGTGGTATTTCTTTCAAAAATATAAAATGATATGAGAAATGAGTCGCAAGGACACCAAGCTATGTTTTTTCTGTTATTAATCATATATCTTCAAATTAGAAAATGAGAAACTACAATTTATAATCAGCATGAAACCTATAACAAACTATATTTTGATGTTAGCATTTCAAATTAGACGTTAACATATTATGCTGAATGACATGCAGTTCAGATTGTTACCTATTTAAATAATTAAGGAAACAAGCACACTTTAAAATATACAAAAACTGTACAAAATTCAACATATCATTAATAATAAACTATGCCTCAAGGCTTGTTTAGTAGCGGTAAGCCGCCGCCGCAAAAAAAGTCACCCTGGATGTTTTTGTTTACGGGCAGAAGGAATAGTAACTGCGCCCAAAAAAGGATTTGCTTGTATTTACCGCTGAGTTCTAGGTTATACGTTTCAGAAATATGAAGCGTTTACATTTTACGTCATCAAAATAAAAATAATATTTAAAAAACGTCGCGGGTTTGCCGCATTATATCTGAAAGAGCCGTAAGGGTCGTGTCATTTCGAAAAGTTATGATAATTTTCGTAGTACTCTGACGGTTATGTTTTCTTTTCCGAATTCCTCTCGATTAAAAAAAAAAATCCAAAGTTGATAGAGGTACAAGTTTCGCGATAACTTGTTTTTGGCTGAAATGAAACATTACAATTAAGAGGGCGAGGAAATTTAGTGAAACTAATATAAAATAGGCTATTATCATGCATCAACACAAAGTACACAAATGTTCACTTACCTCTAACTTGAGGAGAAGAGATAAAAACGAAGTTCAGGTTAAGAGAAAAACCAAAGAGAACCCTCTGAATCGACAGAGGAACAGCGAAATAGGAAGATTGTTTAGCCCCTTCTATTTATATTCATGTCAGTATCATCCTCCCCCATCTCATCAGCCCCTTCCCCTTATCAGGGGGCCCACGCAAGAGAAGTTGAACGATCTCAAGGTGAAATAGCGCGGTTGGCTGAACCAGTTGATTGACGTAAAGGTGCGTCACCGCTCCATCTATAGGCCTGTTTTCATCAGCTCGAGATTGCCAAATATCCCGTTATTTGAACTATCCCCATCGCAAATTATCCAGTTAATTTTGCGTCTTCATCAGCCCGAAGTTGGAATTAGTGGGATATTTGGTCGAGATAATCATCCCAAGATATCTTGGGCTAGTTTGCAAAATTTCTCGCTATTAATTTTGTGCGGCGCGTTTTCATCAGCCCGAAGACTCGCACTATGCGCGAACGATGAGCAAAATATCTCGAGCTAATTTCCCGAGCTCGAGTTTCAAGTTTCGAGGTCAAGTCTCTAGCTGATGAGGACGCGATGAAGATACGATTTGTAACTTCTGGATTATTTCCCAAATCAGAAATAGCGGGCCATTTGGCAATCTCGAGCTGATGAAGCCATGCCTTATTTCTCAACTTCGGTCTTTTTTTTTCTTCTTTTGCTCTCAAATTTTCACGGCGAAGCCAATGAGATGACGAATTGGGGTAGATAATATTTTGAGCACCTCCCCTTCGTTTGTGAGAATTATGAACAGGTTGAATGCACTTGAGCTTCATTTTATTATCATAAGTTTAAATTTATCAATTATTTACTACATAATGTAATTCATATGCATGAGCGCTGTGCACAGTTTCTGATGTGTGTGTGTGTGTGTGTGTGTGTGAGGGGGGGGGGGGGCATGGGCACTTTATCAGAATGAAGTAACAATATGTTGCATATTTCCACGGTTCTTCCGAAATTATTGCTTCTCCACTAACCTAATTAGTGCAACTTTATCATTTTCATGGTTGATTTCGAAAAGAATATATTCTTATTGTTCTTTCATCAGTCTATTTTTCGTTGGGGGATAATTAAACATTATAGACTCTATACGTGGGCTTTATTTCGCACACGGGATAGAGCTGGCGTTTGAGAGTTACATGGGGTCATAATTATGTGAGGTTTAGGGTTAGGTACAGTGTTGCGTTCGGGGTTGGAGTGAAGAATTTAGTTAGTGTAGGAAGTTCAGGCGGGGCAATTGTCCCATGAGCAAGTGACTTTTCAGGCCAACTTTGCCATAAGAGGACGATGGTAAATTTCCTTCACGCATCCATGCTTTATGACACTTACTTGGTATGCCCCAGAATTGGGCTGAACGTACTATTACGGTTTGTATCTTTCATCTCACATGATGATGATGATTTTTCTGAGTACTGCGGAAGCCGGGACTAAAACATGTGACCTAATAAGGCATCCCCAAAAGGTGACCTGGAGCGGCGAATCTTCAACCTCCACTTCAAGTGAGAGAGAGAGATAGAGAGAGAGAGAGAGAGAGAGAGAGGAGAGAGAGAGAGAGGGGGGGGGAAGAGAGAGTGTGAGAGAGGGAGAGAGAGAGAGAGAGAAAGAGAGAGGGAGAGAAAGAAGGGCGGGGGGCTTTACTCTAGAACAAGAGAGAAAGACGGTATAAGATAGAATGATACAGGTGAAATAATTGTTTAGGTCCTATGTAATGGACGTATTTTTTCTTCTCTCTCTATCTCTCCCCAGAAACAGAGAAACAGAGGGTAAGTGGGAGGGATACACAGAAAGAGATAGAGGGAGAGAGTAAGAAAGGGATAAAGAGTGTGTGTGTGTGTGTGTGTGTGTGTGTGTGTGTGTGTGTGTGTGTGAGAGAGAGAGAGAGAGAGAGAGTCTTTCGCTTGCACGAGTCACCGAGGAAGTTCCATATTCAAGGGCACTTAGTTGAACAAAAATTTAATAATTGCATGTCATTATGTTCCCTCTTTGAATTAACAAAAATGAATCACATTATCTATTTTGACTAATGCCATGACGAGTGAAAGGGAATGGGCGCGAAAAATAATGATAAAAGCCGTGCCAAATATATTGAAGTTAAAGCATTAAATAGGAAGAGTATTTTTTTCTTCTTTATTTCATTTTCCTTCTATTATCATGCAGTGACGGATCCAGGTGTCTCTGACAGAGGATGGGAAGGAGGGGAGGGGGGGGGGGGGGGGGGAAGAGGAGGGGTCGGCTGCAAATCCGGAAATTCATTTTTAAATTCCCTTCACCTCTCTCTCTCACATCCTCTCTCCTTCTCTATTCTACTATCTGTTTATTTTCTTTTTTCGACGCTTCCGCCTTTTCTCTTCTCTATCTTAATGTTTTCATACACAGGCTTGTTTCCCCCTTTTCATCTTGTCTCTCTCTTTCTGTATCCTTCTCTCTTTTTGTTCTCCACTTTCGACGTTGACGCCTTTCCTCTTTCTATCTATAGGTTTCCATACATGAAGTTTTTCCTCCTTTCCTCGTTTTTACCCTCTTCCTTTGGCGCCTTGAAACATAATATCATTATATCTATCTCCTGTACTCTGCTTATCCACATTTTTAAATGAATTAAGTTCCCTCTTCCCCTTCATAAAGAAACTTGTACATTACTCCTTCTTCCCCCTTCCCTCTCACTCCCTCTCTCTCTCTCTCTCTCTCTCTCTCTCTCCAACTCTCTGTTTATTCTCCTCTTTCAAATCTTCCGCCTTTCCCACAGTCCAAGGGCTTCATACAAGAGTTCTTTTGACCTCCCTCCCTTGTTCTCTCCCTCTCTCTCCCTCCTACTCATTGCTTAGACTCTCTCGTCTTTCCTTTTCTCTGTCTTAACGTTTTCAAGCATAAGCTTTTACCGCACTCCCTCTTCCCTTCTCTCTCTCTCTCTCTCCCTCCCTCTCTCTCCCTCTCTCTCCCCCTCTCCCTCTCTTTCTTCAACTTTATGCTCATAATTCAAATCTTCCGCCTTTCTCCAAGTTTCTCTCTCCAAGGGTTTCCATTCCTCCCTCGTTCTTTCTCTCTCTTTCTCTCTCCTCCCTTCTGTTTATTTTCCGATTGCCCTGGAAACGTCTTTTCAGTGTGGGCGGGGGGGGGGGTTATGCCCCCCTACAGCCTAAGGCAAATTTCTTTCAGATCTCATATGAATGAGACGCGATGGCTCAGTGGTAAAGCAGTGGCCTCGTGACCGGGAGGTCCTAGGTTCGAAACCAAGTCGATGCACTCGAGCCCTTTGGTAAGACATTAATCCTCATTAACAATTCTCTCTGAGAGGACTTAAAGCCGTCGGTCCACTGGTTGCATACACATGCTTTCTTAAGTCAGGTAAAACAAACCATCAAACCAAAACCAGATTTTTTCGACTCTTCCTTCTTTCCCTTTTCTCTGTCTTAGACTTTTCAAACAGAAGCTCGTACATCATTCCTTGTCCCCCCTCTATCTCTTTCTCTCTCTCTCTCTCTCTCTCTCTCTCTCTCTCTCTCTCTCTCTCTCTCTATCTTTCTCTCTCCTACTCTCCACTTACGACTCTTTCCCCCTCTCCTGAAGTTTCTCTGTCCATGGGTTTCCATGCACGAGCTTGTACCTTTCATCCGGAGGCAGAGATACGATTTCACGAAGAGATGGAATCTTGCGGGTCTTACGAACAACCTACTGCATCACTCAACTAAGATATTTGTTGCCATGGCGACGAGGCAAACTTCCCGCCAAAACAGTGTATCATCGTCAAAGCGATAATGCACATGTTTGTTTTGGCAGATTTGAAGAAGGCTATCGATTCTCACTTCAGATTATGGCCCCAATATTCGTGAATGTTACTATATTAAACCTGGCAACAGCAATGTCGCTGTTAACAACAACAACAACAACAACTTCAACAACAACATCAATAATAACAAGAACAACAACAAAAACAAGAGTACATTATTAAAGTAAGAATATATTTTTTCCACATAATCTTTCAGAATATTTCCATTTAACATTTAGATGCCGATTTCTCATTAATGTCGAAAACATGACATAAAATTCTAGGATAATGATTGGGGGAGGGGGGGGGGGGCTTAACAAACACAATATATACTAGTCCCTTAGAAATTAGTAAGTTGATAACGAGCAGATTGTCCAGTCTTCTTTGTTCTTCTAATATTGCGTTAAATGTTCAATAGAGTATATTGTAAAAACCCTATATTCTTTGTCTATATAGTTTGTTATTATGTTTATATAATCAAAAGCGATTTTATAGCTGACAATGAACTGGCTGCGTTGATTTATGAAAGTATTTCTACACCAGAGATTTTCAGCAGGTGGAGTGAAACACATAGTTGTTCAGAATAAGTTTGAATTTCGAGGATAGTTATATATATCTATATATATTTTTTTTTTTTGGGGGGGGGGGGGGCAATTTTTTTTTGGCAATTTTTTAACTAGGCCTTTTTCTCGGTGTGTTCCTTCTTCCTAACTTTAGAAGCCGATTGTACATTTTTCTACCCGAACTAAAGCTAGGCAAATTCAAGTGTCTAAGCACTTATCATGTATAATTGAATCGAAGGGAGCTTGAATTGAGGGTCTTTTCGAGAGAGACTTTTTTTTTTTTGGTGCGTTCCTTGTTCTTTGGAAGTCAATTGTACTTTTCCTACCTCGAAGTGAAGTTGGGCCAAGTACATTGAAACTGGAGGAGTAGTAATGTACCCAAGGGCATGTAACTATATTAGATTTTTTTTAAATGGGAGTAAATAAGATCAGCATAATTATGTCACAACACGCACCGCTTCCGCCCTCTAGGTTGCTGCAATTATATTCGGGAAAGGGGGAGGTTGGTTCAAAATAAGCAAAGTGTCCAGTGGGGTGGGGTGGATTTATATATTCAGTGGAGGGGCGTTTAAGGTAAGCAAAGTGCCCGACGGGGTTGTAAGGGTGATTATCTTTTTCGGGGGGGGGGGGGGAGTAACTGTTTACTGCCAAGATATGCCTATAAGGGCGGGAGGGGCGTATCAAAAAGGTGTATGAGCTAGAGTTCCCTGA